GTGGAAAAACTGGAGGAGAGAATATTGTTCATAGGTAGTTCTCAACGTACAACCACAATTGGGGTCAGCGTTTCCCTTGCTAAGTGAGTTGTGCCTGATTTTACGACCTTCTTGCCTGTTAACCAAACCACTGCAGTTGTTAATGCAGTTGTTATATAAATCCCGCTTCCCCCCGCCCCATTGACTTTTTGTTGTTGTTAATTGCGAAGTCGTGTCCGACCCATCGCGACCCCATGGACAACGTTCCTCCAGGTCTTCCTGTCCTCTACCATCTTCTGGAGTCCATTTAAGTTCACACCTACTGCTTCAGTGACTCCATCCAGCCATCTCATTCTCTGTCGTCCCCTTCTTCTATTGCCCTCAATCTTTCCCAGCATCAGGCCCTTCTCCAGTGAATCCTTCCTTCTCATTAGGTGGCCAAAGTATTTGAGTTTCAACTTCAGGATCTGGCCTTCTAAAGAGCAGTCGGGGTTGATCTCTTCTAGGACTGACCAGTTTGATCACCTTGCAGTCCAGGGGACTGCAGGAGTCTTCTCCAGCACCATAGTTCAAAGGCCTCAATTCTTTGGCGCTCAGCCTTTCTTATGGTCCAACTTTCACAGCCATACATTGCAACTGGGAAAACCATGGCCTGGACTATACGCACTTTTGTTGGCAGGGTGATGTCTCTGCTTTTTAGAATGCTGTCTAGATTTGCCATAGCTTTCCTCCCCAGGAGCAAGCGTCTTTTAATTTCTTGGCTGCAGTCCCCATCTGAGGTGATCTTTGAGCCCAGGAAGATAAAATCTGTCACTACCTCCATTTCTTCCCCATCTATTTGCCAGGAATTGAGAGGGCCGGATGCCATGATTTTGGTTTTCTTAATTTTTACTTTGTTAACATTGACTTTGCTCATTGATAATTGGCTAGAAAGGTTACAAAAAATGATCACATGACCCCAGGATGCTGCAACCATCATAAATACATGCCCGTTGCCAAGTGTCCAATTCTGATCACATAACTATGGGGATGCTACGAAGGTATTAAGTACAAGAACCAGTCATCAAACACTTTTTCAGTGCTATTGTAACTTCAAAAGTCTCTTAAGCAAATGGCTGTAGGTCAAGGACTATATGTATGTCAGCTTGAGCTCCGGAACAAAAATTAGCATATCAATTTCAACCAAACAAATAAACCCTGGCTATATTTGTATCTCAGTTTTGCAAGTCCTGGAAATACAGACGTGATATCTCATTTGGGGTGAGCATCCTGATCCTCTGAGGCCTAGTGATTTCCTCAAACCTCCTTTGGTGGTTTCTCCAACTATGACTGCCAAAACTCAGCAGCCTCTTGACATCCTCCCACATGGCCTCAAGACTGTCTACCAGGGATCCCATAACAGGGGGGATATGATAGCAGCGTTCCAATATCTCAGGGGCTGCCCCAAAGAAGAGGGAGTCAAGCTATTCTCCAAAGCACCTGAAGGCAGGACAAGAAGCAACAGATGGAAACTCATCAAGGAGAGAAGCAACCTAGAACTAAGGAGAAACTTCCTGACAGTGAGAACAATTAACCAGTGGAACTCTTTGCCTCCAGAAGTGGTGAATGCTCCAACACCGGAAGTTTTTAAGAAGAGACTGGACAACCATTTGTCCGAAATGGTATAGGGTTTCCTGCCTGAGCAGGGGTTGGACTAGATGACCTCCAAGGTCCCTTCCAACTTTACTACTATTACTATTACAGTGGCTCCCAACCTTTTGGGCACCAAGAGTGGTTCTCTGGGAGAAAAAAATTCCACGGGATGAGGGAGCATCGTTTTGGCACGCTACCTAAATCTGGCACATGCACAGATATAGCTTCACTCGCTTAACTGGCCTGGTTCCTAACGGGCCGCAAACTGGTACTGGTCTGTGGCCCAGGGATTGGGGACCTCTGCCATAATGTGTTTCACAGGTCAGGAATATAAATGCCCTACTCCTTATGGGTCATAAGAAAGGCTGAGCGCCAAAGAATGGAGGCCTTTGAACTACGGTGCTGGAGAAGACTCCTGCGAGTCCCCTGGACTGCAAGGTGATCAAACCGGTCAGTCCTAGAGGAGATCAGCCCTGACTGCTCTTTAGAAGGCCAGATCCTGAAGTTGAAACTCAAGTACCTTGGCCACCTAATGAGAAGGAAGGACTCACTGGAGAAGAGCCTCATGCTGGGAAAGATGGAGGGCAATAGAAGAAGGGGACGACAGAGAAGGAGGTGGCTGGATGGAGTCACTGAAGCAGTAGGCGGGAGCTTCAATGGACTCCAGAAGATGGTAGAGGACAGGAAGGCCTGGAGGAGCATTGTCCATGGGGTCGCTATGAGTCGGACACGACTTCGCAACTAACAACAACTCCTGTTCCAGAGGGTGGTAGAGCAGGCAGATTTATCTCCAGCCAAGAAGGTGCAGTTGCTAACAGAAACCAGATTTGGATGTTGCAAACCTCCCTTCCCACCTTATGCAAAAACCTGCAGTAATCCTGGCTTTATGCAGATGTTGCCAGTTTCACCCAATGCGATAACAAATGCAATTAACAGCACCCCCTCCTCCCAGCCCCTGGGTGAATCTCCCGAACAGTCAGCTGTTGTCAAAACAATCTGTGGCAGCAAGCAAAAGGAGATGATAAGAGGAAAAGAGGCGCTGCCTTATCACACTCCTGTAGCTGAGATGCTATCCATCTCCTGTGGGCCACCTACACACACTTCCATAAGATGATGGTAGCCTCCCTTCTGCCTAACCGAGTCAGGGCATAATTAGGAAATGCTTCGGGAAAGAAGACACTGTCCCTCTCCAGGGCTTGGCTGCCAGGCATTAGGTAATCCTTCCGTTTTTTACGATAGTGGCGAGGAATTTCGCCAACGTTATGCCTGCTGTGCCATCTTTGCATACTCCAGAAAAACACGGGCCTGTCTGGAGGAAGACAGGCGGGCTGGTTTTGTGAGCTAGATGAAGCATTATCTGGGGCAAAATTTCTCTCAAGGGTTGGATATTTTTTTTCAATTTCGACTCATTGGGAGTCATACCACTTGCCTATCTCAGAGGCCTCCAGAAGGACCCAACTCCTCTCCGTTCAGTACTTTTAGAGCACTGCTTTTCAGACCTGGCACCCTTCAGATGGGTGGACTTCAGGGGTGGGATTCAGACAGATGAAGAACCGGTTCTCTGTGTGGATGCCGCTTCCGGAAATCCATTCTGGGCCTGGACAACAACAAATTAGCTACCGGTTCTGCCAAAGTGGTGCAAACCGTCTGAAGCCCACCACTGGTGGACTTCAACTCCCAGAATTCCTCAGCCAGCATGGTTTAAGATGGGTGGACTTCAACTCCCAGAATTCCTCAGCCAGCATGTGGAGCTTAGGGAATTCTGGGAGTTGAAGTACTCCCTTAAAGGTGCCAAGTCTGAAAACACTGTTTTATAATGTCTTTTCTAAAGCCATTTTTTCCCCAGATTGGGGCCAATGTTTATGCCAGGTCAGGACTGTTTTTATTGTAAAACTATAGTAACAGACTCTTGCAAGTCTCAATGTGCTTCCTCATTCCTTTATATCATATTATATAAAGAAGGGGCTTGTCTGAGATGTTTTCTCAAGCTATTTTCTTGGTCTGGACTCCAGACCCTCTTCTCTGTTGTCTTAAAGTGCCCACCAGACTTCTCATTTCTTAAAAACGTTTACATAATTGATTTGTTTTCCTCTTCTGTCTTCTTGGGGGGTTTTTTCCTTTTAAAAAGTTTCTTAGAGTATAATCCTGTAGGTGCATTCTGCCTTTTTTTTTTTAAGATCAACTATGTTGCCCTTGGAACATTTTTGCCTAAGGAATGAATTAGAGATGTTTAAAATACATAAATACCTTAAAACACATAGACATTTGGAGTAACTCTAACCACCCATCCTGTTTACCGTGGAAGTGAAAATTATGGCAAGTGAAACTGCTCCTTCGTTTTTGTCAAGTGAAACAAATATGCATATGTGTGGGTATGCAGGGAGGCAATTATCAACTTAGCAAATCATGAATTGCTAGTAAATAAGGAAATTAGTGAGGAACAGGTTTTCATTTATTTATCTGAAGCATTCCTTCTGAGATTTTGTTCTTTGTTAGAAATAATGACTGGATCTAACTGAACTGCCAAGTCCTCTGTTATTCAACGGATTTGCAACAAGGAACCATGCCTGCTTACCCTGTGATTAGACTACTGCAGAGTGGTCTGTGGGGGGGGCTACCCTAGAAGGATAGCCTGAAAATTATATTGATACAAAATATGGCAGGGTGGCTTTTAAAGGGCATAAAACTTTAATACGTACCGTGCATGTAATGGTCTGTGCAATTAACCTTGGGAGGGAAAAAAAAGTAGTCAATCCTTATGGAAAAGGTGTCTCAGCCCACACAAGGAAAAAGGAAGTGGGAAGCATCTCAGAAGGAGCCCTCCCTAGTTTTTTGGGAAAGTAAAAGTAAAGGAGGGGAAAGTGTTTTTCAAACATGGAAGATTCTTTTTTTTTTCTTTGAGTAAAGATTTTATTGATTTTATTGATTTATTTATGAGACTTATATACCGCTTTAAGTGCAAGCACTCTCTAAGCGGTGTACACTAGTAAGCAATGTATATATATATATATTTTACATTGCCCCCAACAATCTGGGTCCTCATTTTACCTACCCCGGAAGGATGGAAGGCTGAGTCAACCTTGAGCCGGTGAGATTTGAACCGCTGACCTACTGAACACAGTCAACTAAAGTGACCTGCAGTACTGCACTCTAACTGCTACGCCACCTCGGCTCATTTTCCCATCAACCTATGTTAATTTTTCCAATCAACAAGTTGTCTGGCAGTTTGCTATGCTAATACATGTTCAATTCCTAATCCTTCATTCTTTCTTCTAGCCAAGAATAAAATAGGTTTCCAAATTTGATAGTAGTCTGTATCTTCTTTATCTTTCACCCTCAGAGTTAATCTGTCCATCTCTGCACATTCCAATATTTTCCTGATTATTTCTTCTTCTGATGGCAGTCCTTCATTCTTCCAGTATTGTGCAAAAATCATTCTCGCTGCTGTGGTAATGTGTAAGATTAAATATAATTTCTGCTTATTAGTCTTTCCAGGCATAATACCTAGTAAAAAAAGTTCACTTGCTCACCCAACATTTTTTCTAACCACATATGTATCTTTCTCCAATAGGCCTTTGCCTTACCACACGTCCACCAAATGTGATAATACGTGCCTATGTTATGCTTACATTTCCAACATCTATCTGACATATTTCTAAACATTTTTGTTAATCTTGCTGATGGCAGATGCCATCTATAAACCATTTTATACATTCTGCTACTGTAAACTCGTAATAAAGGCAGCCTTAGTCTTATGATTTGTGCTTCCTGTCTCATCTACCTCAAAGGGCTAACAATGTCCACTTGGAAAGGTTTCCATTGATTGCAAATTTCATGTCAAAAGTAGAAGTCTTAAATGGCTGTTTCAACTACCTTGGTGAAAACGTGTCCTGGCGCTAAGATTAGAAGGAAATTCCCTCTTAAAACCTCCCAATTTCATTTTTTTCCTCTTTTTCCCCCTTTTTTAAATATTCTGTTTTTTGTATTTTTTTCATATTTATCTTTGATCTCTCTAAAACATTTCTAATAAAAATAATAATAATAAATAAAAAGTTCCAATTTCCTTAACGGGAACCATGCAGAAGAGCACAATCTCCTGGCTGCTCTCAAGCCATGGAGCACCGCTTCTCTGGAACTGCTCTTACTTCCTTTACATTTGTCTGCAGAAAGCAGTGGAGACTTCCCCTCCAGCATCTGCAGGGCTGTAGAAGGGCAAAAAAGTCAAGATGGGGCAGGCATCCCCCCCCCAATCAGAATCCCAGTCTTTTAGATGTGTGTTGTGATGCATATAAGGGAAAAGCAGGTTTTAGATAAACACAGTATAACCACCTTGGATACCTTTGCTTCCTCTTCTGCCCAAAATGTTCCAGATGTTGAATGGCGACATTAATTGTTTTTTATATTTAGAGTTTGATACCATCTTGTCTTTCTGTCCTTCTTAACTACCTTAGGAGATAAGACAGGAAAAGAGGGTTACCATCTGAAATCCAGTCACTGTGCAGAGTCACTTTGCAGAGCGAGACCGGTGGTATATAAATTTAATAACAGCTAAAACCAGTGCTTTTTTTCCTAAAAAAAAAAAAAAAAAGGTGCCGGAACTCACACACGTCATACAACCCGCCTTGCCTACCCTACAAGGTTCCATCCAAAAAAGGTGCCGGAACTCCGTTTTGGGCGTTCTATGAGAAAAAAAGTCCTGGCTAAAACAAATTAAAAACCATGATAGAATAAATACAGGTAGTCCTCAACTTACGACCACAATGGAGCCCGAAACGTCTGTTGTTAAGTGAGACAGTTCTTAAGTGAGTTTTGCCCCATTTTACAACTTTTCCTGCCACGGTTGTTAATTAATATTAATATTAATATTAGTATTGGTAGTAGTAGTAGTAGTGGTAGTGGTAGTAGTAATAACTTCAAACATCCACATCTGCCTATCCTGGGTCCTTGGTAAGGACTCGATAAGTAGACAAAATGCCAAATCCCATCTGAACATCTGGCTGACTGTGCGATAATCCATAGTAATAATAATAATAAAGTTGGAAGGGACCTTGGAGGTCATCTAGTCCAGCCCCCTGCTCAGGCAGGAAACCCTATACCATTTCAGACAAATGGCTGTCCAGTCTCTTCTTAAAGACTTCCAGTGTTGGAGCATTCACAGCCTCTGGAGCCAGAATCACTACCGTTAATAGCCCGGTTGTTAAGTGAATCTGGCTTTCCCATTGACTTTGCTTGTCCGAAGGTCGCAAAAGGGGAACACATGACCACGGGACACGGCAACCGTCGTAATTCTGAGTCAGTTGCCCAGCGTCTGAATTCTGCTCACGTGATCATGGGGATACTACAAAGGTCGTAACTGTGAAAAATGGTCACAAAGTCACATTGTTCAGTGCCGTTGTAACTTTGATCGGCCACTAAATGAACTGCTGTAAGTTGAGGACTACCTGCAATTAATTGCCAGGATAGGTCAGCAGAAATTGAGCCCTCTTCTGGTCACCCATAAACATACATTTCCCTTTCCTCATTTGGACTCAGGGCCAAGGTGCAGAGTTGGGAAAAAGACTTTACAAAGTGGAAGAAATTTGGGGCCGTGGAGAACAGGTTGATTCTGGATAAAGCAGAATTCCTCTCGCTGTTCTGTTCCGTAAGAAGATCTTGTGGACTGATGTTCTCCCTTTCACAGAGCTTCCTCTTTATGCTGTTAGCCCTGGCGAATTTCAGTCCAGAAAAGGTCAATCATTTGCATGGGGCTTCATTTGTAAGAAGAAGAAGAAGAAGGAAAAAAAAAACACAAAAGAGGAAAGAAACATATTTTACTAAATGTCACAGTACTGTTATCTCCTACACATCTGGAAAGCTTAAGGCCGTGACCTGTTCCTTATTGTCAGGGCACCGAATGAAAGGCTTAAGTTACCAGAAAGCAAATTCCAGGTGAATGTTGAGCAAAACTTTCAAACAGTAAAAACAGTTCAGCCGTGCAATCAAAGTCCGGGAGAGAAAGTGGCCTTCCTTTTTCTAGTGGTCTCCTAACAGTTGGATAAGTTACTTGTCAAGAAAGTTTAGAGATAAGAAATTATCTAGCTTATGTTTCCATTTGGAAACCACATCTGGATTTTGTACTCGAAACTGGGGGGGGGGAAATAAAACTCTAATTTTAAGTTTTAATTATTAGATTGATTTTGTTGTTATAAAATGGCTTGAAATGTTTCAAAAAGTAAGGGAAAAGATTAAGACTGTGTTTTTTTTTTGTATTCGATGCCACTGAATAAATTGGACGTTGCTACTTTTTTCCCCTTTCCTTTTTATCTTTCCATCTTTCTTTCTTTCCAACTTTTCTTTCTTTCTTTCTTTCTTTCTTTCTTTCTTTCTTTCTTTCTTTCTTTCTTTCTTCCTTCCTTCCTTCCTTCCTTCCTTCCTTCCTTCCTTCTTTCTTTCTTTTTCCTTCCCTCTTATTTCTTTCTCAATTTTCGTTTGTATTCATATTTTATCTTATAATTAGCTTTAATTAAAAAATGATTGCTATCTTATAATAAGCTGTACTGTAATTTTTAAAAAAAGAAATCTACCTCCCTGCCTTTTGCACGAGGCACTTAAATAGCCTATTTAACCACTTCTCTTGTGAACCTAGGGGCTACTCTGTCTCTGTGTGTGTGCGTTTGCATGTGTGTGTTTGCCTTCAGGTCAGTCTTTACTTCTCACAGCTGCCTGGACTAGCAAGGTTTTTCAGAAGTGGTTTGCCCTTGACACCTTCCCAGGGTTTAGAAAAAGTGGTCAGTCAGTCCCTAAGGCAGTGGTGGCGAACCTATGGCAGAGGTGCCAGAGGCAGCATTCGGAGCCGTCTCTGTGGGCACACGTGCTGTTGCCCCAGCCTTGCCTCCCCCCATGACCCCCTCCTCTCCAGCAGCCCCCCTGAAGGAGAGTCGCCCCTGAGCATGGCCCATGCAGGACATGGCAGCCAGGCAGCGTAGACAAGACTCTGCCCTCACGCCCCATCATGCAGTTGATGCTGCAGGATGCGGGCAGAGGGTGTGGCTGCCATAGCACTGCTGGACTGCCTGGGCAATCTGCAGCGGGCCCTGGAAGCAGTGAGTGGTCCTGTGGGCAGGTGGGGTAGGGGATGGGGTGGGGGATGGGGGGCAGAGTGGGGGCGGAGCAGGGGGTGGAGCGGGGGTGGGGCCAGGTTTTGAGCACTCAGTCTCTGAAAGGTTCTCCATCACTGCCCTAAGACAAGACTAGAACTCACAGACTCCCAGTGTCTAAACTGCTTCCGCTGTTACACCAAACTGACTCTCAGTGGCTAACATGCTAAACTTTTATTTGAACAGAGGATTATCACATCGTGCAAACCAGTGCCACTCAGATATACGTGCGCAGAGGCCCTGATTTCTCCTCTTCTAGTACTGGAAATTTTTCAGGTTCTTCAGTGCCCATCACTAATGATCTGATCACTTCCCAGGGATGTCTCTCCCATCCGTACACCAGATATCAGCCCTGTGGGAAAGGTGGGAAAGACCGCTTGAATTATACAGTCCTCACCTGACTATTCACAGCTCTCTTCCCAGTCAGTGAAATGACTTCTTTCCCTTCCACGATGGAGAAGGGGAAAGAGACACAAAGGGGGGAATGAAAGAAGGAAAAAGAAAAAAAGGTAATGCTGTAAAAGAAAGAGAAAAGTAGAAGAAAGGGATGGCTCCACCCTCTTTGTATCCTGGTTGCACCCACGCTGCCCAGAGTTACGTATTTTGAGGTCAGATGGGTGACCTATAAGTTTAATGAATAAATATAAATTAATGACTGGTTCCTCGCCAATCTCTATTCACTCACTCCCTCCTCCACCACCACACCAGCCGCCAGTTTGGAAACTTCACAAATTTGGCTGTGTGGTGGTGTTGTTGTTTTTTTAACCAAAATCCTGTGTTCCTCATTGTTTTTAGCCAGGCTAACGGCTACAGTTTGCAAGGCAGGGATTTTTCAGATAACACTTGAAGGGAAAGATTTTCAGGTGGGTATTGGTAGAGGAGAAATGTTGAAGTTTTACAAGTGGGGTAACTTTATCAAATGTACCTATTTCCCTTCGTTTCGGTTGGAAAGGAGTCCATTTTGACTGGAGAGGCGTAGAAGTCCTGTAAATGAATCCAGCCTTCCATACAAAATGGGGGAAAGTCAATCTACTGAAATATGCAATAGTACTGCTTTATAAAGCTCTAGTGCAGTGGTGGCGAACCTATGGCACGGGTGCCAGAGGTGGCACTCGGAGCCCTCTCTGTGGGCACACACACCATCTCCCCAGCCCTGTCTCCCCCCACGGCCCCCTCCTCACCAGCAGCCCCCCCTGGAGGAGAGTTGCCCCTGGGCACAGCCCACATGAAGCAGCACAGCCAAGGACAAAGACTCCACCCTTGCACCCCATTGCATGCAGATGATGCTGCAGGGCACGGGCGGAGGGCATGGCTGCCATGATGCTGCTGGGCTGCCTGGGTGATCTGTGGTGGGCCATGGAGGAGGTGAGTGGCCCAGTGGGCAGGGTGGAGTGGGGATGGCGGGGCAGTTTTTGGGCACTTGATCTCTAAAAGGTTCGCCATCACTGCTCTAGTGAGACCACACTATACTGCATCCAGTTTTGGTCACCCCATTACAAAAAAGTTGTTGAGATTTTGGAAAGACTTTAGAGAAGTGCAACAAAGATGATTAGGGCCCTAGAAGCTAAAAGATGATTAGGGCCCTAGAAGCTAAAAGATGATTAGGGCCCTAGAAGCTAAAAACATATGAAGAACAATTGCAGAAACTGGGTACACCTAGTCTAGTGAGAAGAAGGACCAGGGGTGACATGATAGCAATCTTCCAGTACTTGAAAGGCTGCCACAAGAAAGAGGGGGCCAACCTATTTACCAAAGCACCTGAAGGCAGGAGAAGAAACAACGGATGGAAACTCATCAAGGAGAGAAGCAACCTAGAACTAAGGAGAAAATTCCCAACAGTGAGAAAATTAATCAGTGGAACCAATTGCCTTCGGAAGTGGTAGGTGCCCCATCACTGGATGCTTTTAAGAAGAGTCTGGACAGCCATTTGTCAGAAATAGTATAAGTCTCCTGCGTGAGCAGGGGCTGGACTAGATGACCTCCAAGGTCCCTTCCTATTCCGTTGCTGTTACTTTGGGGGATTAGACATTGAAGGAGGAGAACTGTGTCAGTTTATGGTCACAGAAAACTGGTAGCATCTCTTCTAAGTAACATATTTTAGGAGAAGAAACAAGCAAGCTTTAGTGAGATATAGTTTGTGTCTTTTTATAAAATGTACTAGTTGGAAAAAGGGTTAACAAACGAGTAGTGGTTTAAGTAAAATCTCTTTCAGATATAACGTGACTCTTGGGGGTTTGATGGACCAGCACAATTCTGTTGTGTTCTGTTGCGTCAGCCAAAAGTGACACACACCCCCTCCCACTATCTTACATATCAAATTGACATGGGAAAAAAAGTCAGCAAGGAATCAAATTTCTTACAACCGTTGATTGGGTGGGCAACCCGCTTACACACTTTCTCCCCTGAGCGATGCAGCGGCTTTGAAGGCACCCCTCCTTATCACAACAGCGGCAATCCTTTGAAGTGAAACCTCAAGCTTTGTTTATTGCCAAAGAAAGAAAAATACACCAGTCGCCTGTGAGTGTGTTCTTCTCCTCTTGATGGGCAAGCCGCAAATATCCAGGACTGTTTGCAAAACACATTTCGGATTGGGCTTGTTCACACTTGTGGTCTAGGGATCCTTTAATCCTTGCTAATTTGCACAACTTAATGAGGTAGGAATTAACCCTTGGTACCTACTCCTCTGAACTTCAAGGAGCGTTTGGGCGGCTTCACGCCCACACCTGCTCAGTCATCAGAGATGGACAGCTGCAGGCATGTTAGGATTTCAACCAGCATCTCTTGTCCAGTTGTTGAACCACCGGGCATGAACCACATTTTGAGCACACAGCTCAGTCAGCTACAGATTGGCCTCGACTCACAACAGCTTGTTTAGCAACTGTTCAAAGTTATAACAGCGCTTACGACTGTTTTTCACACTTACAACCATTACAGCATTTCCCTCCTCCCCAGTCACATGATCAAAATTTGGATGCTTGGCAACTGACTCGTTATTTAGGACAGTTGCAGTGTCCCGGGGGGGGGTGTCATGCAATCCTCTTTTGTGACCTTCTGACACGCAAAGTCAATGGGCTGGATTCACTTAACAACCCTTATTACTGGCTGAACAACCGCAGTGGTTCATTTAACCACTGCAGCAAGATAGGTCATAAAATAGGACAAGACTCACTTAACTAACTCGCTTAACAACAGAAACGTTGGGCTCAATTTGGGTCATAAGCCGAGGACTATTGGTATAATCTTTGACATTTACAAACCTCTAGAAGCTTCATTCCATTTAAATCTGGGTCTTTGTTAGTAGCACTGTGTGTTGGGCGACACACAGTGCTACTAACTGAGAAAGCAGGCTAATTCAGTGCAGGCAGCCCTTGAGTGACAGCCCCAACAGAGACGAGAATTTCCGTTGCTAAGCAAGGTGGTTGCTAAGTGAATGGTGCTTGATTTTACAACCTTTTCCCCCATGGTTGTTCAGGGAACCACTGCCATTAAGGGAATCAGGCAGTTGGTTCTTAAGCTGGGAAAGTTGCAAATGACGATCATGTGTTCCCAGGATGCTACAGCTGTAGGAAATACATGCTGGTGGGCAAACACCTGAATTTTGATCATGTGACTCTGGGGATGCTATGACAATTGTTAAGTGTGCAGACTGATCTTCTTTTAGTTGTAATTTCATTGCTAAATGAATGGCTGTAAATTGAAGACGGTAGGAAAGATGTAGGAAGCATAATTCATCCACTGCATAGGGAAGGTGAATGATCTTGCAAATTCTAAATGGGATTCCCTGTTTCTTAAACCGTGATGCCAGTCTGGCTGTTTTAGCCAGTGGTGGAGTTAAGCCAAAGGTTCAGAGTCTGTGGATTGTAACCACTAAACCCAGAGGGTTTTGAGTAACCTGTGAGCTGGGTTTACAATGATTTTTTGAAACGGATCAAGCAAAGTATGAAGCAAAGCCAAAGGTGAGTTTTAATTGATAACTAACCAAGCGTTCAAACCGGTCAGTCCTAGAAGAGATCAACCCCGGCTGCTCTTTAGAAGGCCAGATCCTGAAGTTGAAACTCAAGTACTTTGGCCACCTAATGAGAAGGAAGGACTCACTGGAGAAGAGCCTGATGCTGGGAAAGATGGAGGGCAAGAGAAGAAGGGGGTGACAGAGAATGAGGTGGCTGGATGGAGTCACTGAAGCAGTAGGTGTGAACTTAAATGGACTCCAGAAGATGGTAGAGGACAGGAAAACCTGCAGGAACATTGTCCATGGGGTTGCGATGGGTCGGACACGACTTCGCAATTAACAACAACAACAAACCAAGCACGCCTAGCCATCTGCCAAAACCAACAGCGCTGTGATCGGTGGATGGATCCCCATCAGCTGACCACTTCCAGCCTAGCGGGTGGTAGTATGCCCACAATCCTCAGAGGATCTGTAGAACCATGCCTGTCAAATTCTGTACTTTTATCTATTATTTTTGATCTCTAATCTTTCAAAGAGAACTATTTTGGGACAGTGGCTATGACAACAAGCTGGAAACCAGGAGACTGTGAGTTCTAGTTCTGCCTGAGGCACAAAGCTAGCTAGGTGACCTTGGGCTAGTCATTTTCTCTCAGCCTTAGGAAGAAGAAGGCAATGTGAATTCGTGCCAAGAAAGCTGGCAATTGCCAGGAGTCTACCCTGACTTGAAGGCACACACTTGCGTATGCACACATACATGAGCTTTTCAAAATGGAAGGTTTCTTGGGTGGTAAAAGAAAAGCTCCGGAGCTAAAACGAGGCCAAGGAGAGAGCAGAAATCCACTACCTGGATTCTTCTGGATGATACTGATTTATGACTTGGTTGAGCATGTGCCTCTTGGGCACTCACCTTTGTCTTGAAAAACCGTCTCTGGAGAGGATGACCAATTGGTGATAGGCACCACGAAGGTGGAGCTGAAAGAGGAGGAAAAACAATCCCAAGCTGACTCAGAGAGGTCATACCTACTTCATACTTTTCTAAAATCTGCCAGAGGGGAGAAGAAAGAAGCTCTTCTCTTTCATCTCATTGGGTTCGGGTTTTTGTTTTGTTTTTTTCACTCCTGCCGTTTCTGTTGACACAGGATGAGTTGCGTTAGCAGCTAAGTTAGAAGGAAGCTGGCACGGAAAGACTCTAAAGTTACGTCTCCCTGACCCACTAGAGTAGAGAGGCAGAGTATGTTATGGATGTTCTCTTTTAAGGAGCTCCATCTAGTGGGACCAAGAAGAAGGACCTTCTCCATGGTAGTGTCCTCCCTGTAGATCAGTGGTTCTCAACCTTTTTAATGCCGCGACCCCAAACCGGTCGTAAGTCGAGGACTACTCAACTGGTGTAGCGCTGTTTGCAGAATGGGACTTTTGGTGGGCTCAGCAGGGCAGAGACAGCCTGGACAATTCCTATTGGCTTTTGAAAGCCAATAGAATTAGACTCTATTCAAGAGAGTCTATTCTATTGGCTTTCAAAAGCCAATAGAATAAAAGAGAGTAGCACAGCTAAGGAAAAGGGGGGGGGGAAATGGCAGACTGCGTTGTTTGGCGACCCCCGTGAAATGGTCGTTTGACCCCAAATGGGGTCCCAGACCCACAGGTTGAGAACCACTGCTGTAGATCATCATCCCTGAAGAAATAAGATTGGCCCCCACCTTGGTACTCTTTTGAAAGGCCCTAAAGACATGGTTTTGCCTGTAGCCTGGGCTCCTCAGGATGATATTGTTGTTGTTAGTTGCAACCCATCGCAACCCCATGGACAACGTTCCTCCAGGTCTTCCTGTCCTCTACCATCTTCTGGAGTCCATTGAAGCTCACACCTCCTGCTTCAGTGACTCCATCCAGCCACCTCATTCTCTGTCGTCCCCTTCTTCTCTTGCCCTCCATCTTTCCCAGCATTAGGCTCTTCTCCAGTGAGTCCTTCCTTCTCATTATCATTGTCACTGGGGGGGAGGGAGTTTATTGGCTTTTATATTGGGGTTTTATTTTTGTAAACCGCCTGGACTCACTGGCCCTATAATTTTTTTCTTAATAAATAAATAAATAAAGGCAGGACATCCTTTCCCCCATTTGCATGGTGAAAAGGGGGGTTATGTGTTATCCATGCCAGACTGATCTCCACACACCAAAGTGATGGAAGGAAGGTTTTCTTTATTATGGTCAGAGAACAATTCCACTTAAAGGTGTTTTAACAGTGAAACAGTTCTGAGAATCCTGGGAAATTATGATTTACCGGGCTTCCATGCAATGCACTTCTCATCAATGGAATAATTTTCCACGCTAATCATTTGGGTTAGGCAAGTAACATAGATGGATTCAAATAATGATAAATATTGACTGGTTACACTTGCAAATCTGGAGTGGTTCGGAGCTGTTTGCCACACACATATTGTTGTTGTTTGTTGTTAGTTGTGAAGTCATGTCCAACCCATCATGACCCCATGGACAACATTCTTCCAGGCCTTCCTGTCCTCTACCATCTTCTGGAGTCCATTTAAGTTCACGCCTCCTGCTTCAGTGACTCCATCCAGCCACCTCATTCTCTGTTGTCCCGTTCTTCTCTTGCCCTCCATCTTTCCCAGCATTAGGCCCTTCTCCAGTGAGTCCTTCCTTCTCACTAGGTGGCCAAAGTACTTGAGTTTCAACTTCAGGATCTGGTCTTCTAAAGAGCAGTCAGGGCTGATCTCCTCTAAGACTGACCCGTTTGATTGCCTTGCAGTCCAGGGGACTCGCAGGAGTCTAGTGGGACCAAGAAGAAGGACCTTCTCCATGATAGTGTCCTCCCTGTAGATCATCATCCCTGAAGAAATAAGATTGGCCCCCACCTTGGTACTCTTTTGAAAGGCCCTAAAGTCATGGCTTTGCCTGTAGCCCTGGGCACCCCAGGGGACTCGCAGGAGTCTTCTCCAGCACCATAGTTCAAAGGCCTCAATTCTTTGGCGCTCAGCCTTTCTTATAGTCCAACTTTCACAGCCATACATTGCAACTGGGAAAACCATGGCCTTGACTATAAGCACTTTTGTTGGCAGGGTGATGTCTCTGCTTTTTAGTATGCTGTCTAGATTTGCCATAGCTTTCCTCCTCAGGAGCAAGTGTCTTGTAATTTCTTGGCTGCAGTCCCCGTAAAACAAATATACAATCAATAGTTCACCCACAGACAGCCCAAAACAAGAAAACAAATGCAGATAATTCTCAACTTATGATCACAACTAAGCCCAAAATGTATGTTGCTAGGCAAGAGAGTTGTTAAAAGTGGTACAATGGGTGAAAAGGTTGAAAAGCCCTGCTCTATGCAGCTCAAAGACTCTGTTGCAGTTTGGAGCTGATATCAACAGCAAAATAATGTAACTTTCCTTTTTATTGTGTTTTTATAAATCTTGATACATTTTATACAGTTATATAAATCTTGATAGTTTGTATTCTTTCAATACAATCCTGTTTACGCAATAAAGTTTGTTAACATTCTATTAAACTGTATTTAGTTAGCTTGGTATACAGAGAAGAGAGCAGAGGAAAATACAGGTTATAATTTAGGGTGGCAATATTACCGGCGTAAAATTATTTGGCGTTTTCATTCAGACGTTGAGAAAAGAATCACCATGACTCACATCAAAGTATTTGTATACAGATTTCAATCTTAAACTGATTACTTAATATTAAAATCTCCATGGAGTAGTGTCTGTCTCTCTCTCTCTTTCTATATGTGTGTGTGTGTCTCTCTCTCTGTGTGTGTGTGTGTGTAAATGAAGGAAAAACTATAGATAAAATGAGCAAATTTAATAAGAATTAAAATACCAAAAAAGCAGGTGTGGGGGGGGGGGGAAGCAAGAAAGAAAATAAGAAAAGGACTGTTGAATTTCTAATTCCCCAATTTTGTGTATTTGCTAATTCTCAATATTTATAGATATACAGGCCCCTCAGAAACCAAAGTTTAAGTGATTGTATTTGTTATGCTGCATCATGTGTTGTATGTATAGGACCCATTCTTATTTACATTTAATTAATGCTTTCATTCTATTGCGTACCTATAAGGTTAGTTTTGCCATTGCTGTGCACTTTCCAATTTTAAGTTCCCAAATACTCTAACTTTTTGACATTTGGTGATTGAATGCGATCTCCACAGGTAATTTGTGTTGCCAATCAATAATCAGCAAATGGAGGAAGGAAATATGGTATCTGAGAGAAAAGCCAATATTTGGGGGATACCCCCCCATAGAAATGCAAGCCACCCTTTAAAAGTACTGGTTTAATACCTACAAATAAACACAGGAAAGGTTTGTTTTGCCCAGCAGTAGTAAAAATGCTATGTCAGGGGGAAAATATTTCACAGTTTCCATGTTGCAATGGAGGTTAAAGGGGAGAATTAGAGAAAGGTGGATGGCCCCATCCAGCATCAGCTTGTTTGTGAATGAACTAGACATAAGGGCTGGGTGTGCAGGTGTTGCAAGGCCAGTGGTGACATTTAAAGGCTTTTTTAGAGGTAAAGAACAAAAGTGTTAAAGTTCATCATTCACTTACGTTCGTAGAAAGATATTTGGGACCAGCCTGTCCTCAGACTGTTAGGCATCTCTGCCCATCAACTGCCGACCACATTTCTCTGGTGTTGTAAAGTTGGGCCAACCCAACACTACAGAAGCAAGGAGCAAAAGTATGCAATAAATAAGGTGACCAACCGTCCTCCTTTAGGGAGGACAGTCCTCCTTTTGTGTGTTCTGTCCTCCCTCGAAAAGTGTCATCCTACATGTCCTTCTTTTCAATATTTGAAAACTAATCTGCAGGGCTTTTTTTTTTTCTCATAGAACACTCAGAACGTCATTCCGGCACCTTTTTTGATGGTTTTTTTTTCAACTTTTGCATGAGCTGTGCTGCTCCCCCTATTGATTTCGAAAGCCAATAGGAATTGCTGCTGAGCACGTCAAAACACCCGGCCAACAAACTTTGCACATGTAAGTTGTCTGCAGCGAAGGCAAATTGGCAGGAACTTTGCACCCCTCCCTGCTACCCAACTACACCATCTCCTAGTTCAGTGGTTCTCAACCTTTCTAATGCCGCGACCCCATAATACAGTTCCCCATGTTGTGGTGACCCCCAACCACTTATACATCACCGGGTGCCAGGGGTGTGGCCAAAGAAAGGGGAGAAAAAATGGCAGACAGCCTGGTTTGGCGACCCCCGTGAAATGGTCATTCGACCCCAAATGGGGTCCCGACCCACAGGTGGAGAACCACTGTCCTAGTTAGTCCCGAAGATACCTGGAGGAGACTGGAGTGGCGATGCCACGGTAACTTTCTCTTGATGTTCGGCCCTGCTAGGGCAATAATGGCTGCAGGCGCAAGAGGAAGGGGCAGGGGGCTGCTGTGGGTGGGAGTGTGAGGGGCAGTGGTGGCTGGCTGCCCCCCATACTGTGGGAGCTGTGGTGCCTGTTCTATACGGGGCTGTGCAGGGTGGGCGGTGGTGCTGGTGGGGCAGCTGCAGGTGGGGTGTGTTGACGGCGGGCTGCCCCGCGGGGCTGGAGCCGGCACAGCTGGTGCTTTGGGAGCCATGGGGCCTGCTCTACACGGCAGAGCAGCAGTGCTGGCGGGGCGGCTGCAGGCAGGGGCGCGGCATGTAAGCATAATTACAATATAAAATGTTATTGTTACAAAGGTTTTTTATTATGCATTTATCCTATTATAGTGTATTCTGTATTATTGTTGCAATGAATAAAATGTTTCTTTTATTTATGATATTTTTTTCTTCAATTTATTTGTGTCCTCCTTTTCACTGTAAAAAAGTTGGTCACCTTACAATAAACGGAATTCCTGGATGCAAAGGCAGACATTTTTATGAATCAGGATGAACAGGGTGTTATCGTTGCAATGACGTATCACAATCCCTCTTTCTGATGACCAGCTGCCTTTCCCTTGACATCCTGTGCACAAGTTCACAAAATCTGTATTGATCAAATAAACCAGGGCTCTTCAAACTTGGCCCTTTTAGGACTTGTGGACTTCAACTCCCAGAATTCTGGGAGTTGAAGTCCACAAGTCCTAAAAGGGCCAAGTTTGAAGAGCCCTGAAATAAAATAATAGGCCTGATCTGAAATAAAATAATAGGCCTGGTCTCCTTCGATTTATTTTATTTTTATCCCGTCTTTAT